AGTCCATGTGACAACTGAGGGATCTGAAATTGCTCTTGTGAAAATTAGTGCCAGAAATTTTCTACTGAAATTTTGAACACCTTAACTAAAGCATCACTTAACTCCTTCCAGATGGACTGGTCAGATCTAGCTGGTCAAATATGTCCGAACTATTTAAAATGCCTATTCCATCTCAAATGGACTATTCCACTTTAATATATTACTTTTTACTTTCTGTATTTTTTGTGCTCAAAAATTGATATGGTAGCTCAATTCCAAAATGAAATAAACAAATCAAAATTCCAAATTTGAAGATCCAGAGACAGAAAGAAATGTTGAAATTATGAATTTCAGGTCCAATGTCAAAAATCCCAATACATGTAAATGGTCAGAATTCAAAGACAAATCATTCGCAGGTCAATGGATACAGTAGAAAAATAAATAACCCAACCACTTTTATCGATGGAACAATTTTTTTCAGAGATGCATTTATGGCAACAACTGCTACTGACTGCTTTCTATTTTGGTTCTCTACAGCATATCATATAGAACATGGGAGCTCTTTTTCTCGCTAAGTGACTTTCTCTTTCACCACACTTTGTTAAACAAATAAAGCCTTTATTAAGGTCACTAGCTTATTGCAATTTTACTACAATTTATTTGCATAATGAGACCTTTTAAAAAAAAATATTACCGTCATGGAAAGACTACTGAAACCACAACATTTCTCTACTGATCCAGCTAGTAGTACAACCAGTAAAGAATGGTTACACTGTAAAAAGACCTTTGCAAATTTCCTTTCATCTCCACCAGATGAAAGCTTAGACACCTCAATGAAACTGTTAATTACATAGAACCTTCAGTACACAAGTATGTCACCGACCTTCTTACATATGAAGATGCTATGGCCAAGCTTGAGAAAGTTTATGTTAAGCCGAAGAGCAAAATTTTTACCCTTATAACTAGGATCCAGAAAACTGATCAGAGTCTGGACCAGTATTTAGAAGTCCTCTGTCTGATTAGCAAAGGCTGCGTATTTAAACATGTGACAGCAGAGATTAACCATCATAAGTACATCTGGGACACCTTCATAAATTGACCTAGTCTACTCATATACAGACAAAATTCCTCAAAAATAGATTGCTAGACTTAAAACACTGTGTACAACCAGGCTGTAGCCTTCACAGGTGCTGCCAAACAATCCTTAGCCTATATGGAACTGGCTACTGTAAATGCTTATATTAATAACCATCCTCTAAATGAGAGTGACCATGTAGTTGTTAGTAGCAAGTGCAGCTACATCTGTGGATTTAAATATCACCTCCTCCTGTGAGAAATGCTATCTGTAATAGATACAGTAAATGTCAACTACACTAAAGTGTGCAAACCTAGCCAACCAACAGCTGCCCTAAAAATAGCTTCAATTACTGGGGCCACACATTTATCACAGGTCATTATGGATATTAGGATTAATAATATTCTAGTCAATGCCTTGATAGGCATGGGGAGTACTTAAAGCTTTATAAATCACTATGTTGTACAACTTGGGCTTCCCATTTCTATTATAGCAGGAATTGTTAGCATGGTTTCTTCATCACTCTTCTAAAATGAGAGGCACTTGCTTGGTCAACTCACAGATAGGTAACAAGACTTACCCTAATGTGGAACTGGCCATCTAACGTAACTTGTGTTGCGATATATTATTGGGCGATGACTTCTTAAAATGACACTCTTCAGTTTTTATCTCATTTGGAGGACCCTTGTCCGAACTGAGTGTGTATGATCTTGTTGCCATAGGTATTCAAACTCTTTCCTTGTTTACCAATCTTTCACCCATGTAAGCCCATAGCTGTAAAATCCCAGTGCTTTTCTCTTTATTTCTGAAGCAATGAAGATTTTATTAGTATCTGAAAAGTGCCAGAATTTTGCAGCTACCAATAAAATCTTCATTGCTTCGGAAACAAAGAGATTGTTATGAGAAGGAGTTATAGAACCAATCAACTCCCCTTGGAGAGTTCAAGTTCTTGTCACTTCAGAAGCTAATCGTAAACAAAGGATGGTGGCAGACTACTCACAAAAAAAAAAAAAAAAAAAATCAGTAGACATTATTGGACACATTCACCCTTCTTCGAATAAATGATGTAGTATATGAAATGGCAAAGTATCACTACTTCTATACCCTGGACTTGAAGAGCACATACCACTAAGTACCGATTAAGAACACCAACAAAAAGTATATTGTCTTCAAAGCTGACAGTCACTTATAGAAGTTCTGCTGAATACCGTTTGGCATTATTAACAGAGTGGCTTGATTTCAGAAGATAATAAACAACCTTATCTATTTCAAAGCACTTTCTGCTATGTTTACCTATGCAGGTAATGTAACAATCTGTGGTAAAATGAGTGAGGAGCATGATATCAACTTAAATAAACTAATGAGGTTGTTTGAAAGTACCATCTAACCCTCAACAAGAAAAAAAGCAGTTTGGTAGCTGACACTGTCACCCTGCTCAACGATCTATCAACCAAGGATCAATTAGATCCAACCTGGAACATTTATGACCCCTTAAGAGTCTTCCAGTCCCTCAAGATAAGACAGCATTACAGCAAATAATCAGACTATTTTCTTATTCCCAATGGGTACCAAAATTCTCTAACTGGATTAAACCCTTAATAACAACTATTTCGTTCCCTCTCAACTCTAATTCTGAGAAAGCATTTAATGACCTTAGAGAGAAGAATGAAAAGGTCCTACCACATTCTATTGATGAAAACCTTCCCTTAGTGACTGAATCTGATGTCTCCAATACTGCTGTAGCTGCTGCACTGAACCAAGAAGGTCGACTGGTTGTTTTTTTTTTAGGGCCTTCTCTTGTACCAATCGTAAGCACTCTGCTGTTGAGAAAGAAGCTTGCAAAAATGGTTTCACCTCTTAACGTTAAGGCATTTTACTATCCTTACTGACCAGAGAGATATAAACTATGTTTAATTCAAAAGGACTTAAAATAAAGAAAGATGAAATTCAACGATGGCAAAAAGAATTGGGGTGTTACGATTATGACATCATATATACTAACCTGGTAAAAACAACATTCCTGTTGACATACTCTCTTGTGATCACTATGTAGACACTATTGGTGATAAGAAATTGCAGGAGCTATATGTTTGCCTTTGTCATCTTGGTGCAACAAGGTTCGCCCAGTTCATCAAAATAAAAATTTGCTATAATCCAGTGAAGAAATCCGAAAAGTATGCCAAGAGTGGCCTGAGCATGCTCACCTGAAGCCAAGATTTTTCTCTCCATATCCTACTATCCTCATTAAAGCTACCTATGGAGTGACTTAGCAGAGACTTCAAAAAGACCATTTCCCTCCTCTAGGAACGTTATCTGCTGACCATTGCAGATGAATATTCCTATTCCCCCATTCGCTTTCACCTGTCTGAATTTGACCACTGGCTCAGTTGTGAAATATTTGAACCAGATTTTCACGGTGATTGGGACCCCTCCTTACATTCATTTGAACCAGGCATTCTCATTTCAATCCAGAAATGAGATGAAAGAACATCTGGCTAAGTTTGGCATTGCAACTAGCTGGATAACTACCTATAATCCATGAGGAAATGAACAATACAAATGGTATAATGGGGTAATATGGAAAGCTATTAGTCTGGCATTAGCTTCCAGAAATCATAGAACCACACAGTGGAAAATAGCATTACCTGAAGTACTGCATTCAATAAGGTCACTGCTGTGCACTGTCACCAATGCCACTCTCTATGAGAGACTATTCCTAGACAGTCCTTACCCACTTGGCTCACATACAATTGGCTAAGAGATGAGAAGCGAATCTTGTGAATTAGCTCCTGTCAGGGAAAATTGGCTCCAAAACCCTTCAACTGAAGTGAATTTAGATTCAGGTTCAAAGGAATCCTTCTCTCTTGTCTCCAACGACCCTGTTGGTTTGGTGCCCATGCCACCAGCTGAGCCTGCAATCAAAACTAGTCTAGAGAACTGACCTGATATTCTACTTAGGGGACCTGTTTGGTAGTCTACTCAACAGCATCTCAACAGCCTCTCTATTACTGTGGGCTACGAAGTGAGTATATAAAATAAAGGAAGGGAAAATGAACTATTTAAACTTATTCTGTCTCAGATGGACTGTTCTACTTTAATATATTTCTTTTGACTTTCTGTATTCTTTGTAAGGTGAATAACGCCTTTCATAAGGTCACTAACCACTTGAAGTTTACTACAATGTCCATTTATAAAACTAAACCTAATAATACCAAACAGCTGTAGTGGAGTACAAAAAAAAATCAAAAAAAAATCACTTCACTTATCTGACCCTTAAGATTAAGCCCACCTTCCAAGGGCCGTCTCCTTATCTTACTTTTCCTATGAGGGTTGCAGTGATGACCTGATGCGATCAGAATCTAAATACAAAAATTCCAAAGAAACTGAGCCATTTTTGTTCATAGTCCCACACATGGAACCAACTTAAAACTCTGTTTTGTGCCATATCTTCTCATAGACAAAGTGGGGATAATATATCAGAGACTTAGAAAGAGAAATAGGTGAGCCTTTAACACAAATACCCTTAGAAAAGATATGAATCCATTTCTTCTCCCCCCACTATGGATTAAATAGATTGGGCCTCCTAGTTTTGGTAGGCAACCAGTCTAGAAATAGTGTGTCTATTAAAACACTCATCCTTTAGTAGCCCGAGTTACTCATGGAGATGTACCAGAGCATAAAATTCACAATAATCAAAATTCTTAAGTTATGCAAATTATAAAATATGTCACAGGTGGAGTTTGTATCTACATTTTTAAAATCTTTTGTTCTTTTATTGTATTTCATATGTATAGATATACATACCAAACTATGTTAATTAAATCTGACAGTTTTCCAGAATATCTGTATATGTATATACTGACAGACAAATTTTGGATATGTAATTAATTTTCAAGATTTCTAGCAAATATTCAAAAAGTTTTGAGCTTTTGATATGATGTATTAGATGTCTTGGATATATCTATTGGTATGTGATATTTTTTATTTTTTTTGAAAGAGAGGAAGGTTGGGAAAGAATAGTTATACCAATTGGTGGGCTATTCTGCCAGGAATGGTATCCCGCAGTTAGATGTGTATCTATTAACACCTGTATTGGCTGTGCAGAAACATTCAGTCAAACTATGGACAGATTCAAAAAAATTCCTCAAAATCATGACTGCTTTTAAGATTCAGAATCCTTATTACTTATGACTTTTAGTTATTTTCATTTTCTTTTCTTTGTATTTTCCAGTTCCTTTCATGGTCACATTCCTTTTTTTCTTCCTTGGTATTTCTGCATCCTGCCTTTCCTTCAACCTCAGTCATTCAGCATCATTCTGCCTTTCCTTCTGCCACACTCATTCCGCCTTTCCTTCTGCCACACTCATTCCGCCTTTCCTTCTGCCACACTCATTCCGCCTTTCCTTCTGCCACACTCATTCCGCCTTTCCTTCTGCCACACTCATTCCGCCTTTCCTTCTGCCACACTCATTCCGCCTTTCCTTCTGCCACACTCATTCCGCCTTTCCTTCTGCCACACTCATTCCGCATTATTCTGCCTTTCCTTCTGCCACACTCATTCCGCCTTTCCTTCTGCCACACTCATTACGCCTTTCCTTCTGGCACACTCATTCCGCATCATTCTGTCTTTCCTTCTGCCACACTCATTCCGCATCATTCTGCCTTTCCTTCTGCCGCACTCATTCCACCTTTCCTTCCACCTCAGTCATTACACATCATTCTCTGCTTTCTGCTCCAGCCATTGCACATCCTTCTGCTTTGGTCAACATCCTTCAGTCTTCTCTAATTTTTCTCTGCCCAATCACTACTTTCTACTTTTCATCATTTCTTCTTGAGTTTTGTCTTCTGCTTCTTCCATATTTATTTTCTTATTCTTTCTTTTCTTATTTCTTAACTCATTCATTTTATATTCTCACTTCATGAATTTTTGGTCAGTGGGTACAAATTTTTTAATACTTTATTCTTATTCCTTAATATCAACTCAATTGCATTTTCTCCATTTCATCAACTCTTTTCTTCTGATATTCAAATTAAATGTGCATTCATTTCTCACATTAATTTTTTCTTTTTTTTTTTTAACCTTCCTTTGTTTGATTATTTACATTTTTCAGTGACTTTTTTCTTTCTTATTTTTATTCACTTTTCCTTCAAGCCTTCATTTTCCTCATTTTTCCAATTTAATACTTTTGTTTTTCCTTTCTTCATTTTCTCTTTCTCTTCAGTCTGCTATTTCTTTCTTAATTTCTTCTGTGAGTTTTTTTTAATTTGTTTCATTTGCTTTACGGCTTTTTCTTTGATTTTCGATTTTAATTACCATAATTTTCAAACCATTTTAATTCAACATTTATTTTCTGTCTTTCTCCTTCTAGTACTACTTCCCCTTTGTCTTTCCTTCATTTCTTTTATCTTCTTTGTTTTTTCTTTTAACTTCCAGGATTTCCATTTTTCTTTAAGTTTTTCATCCTGTTTTTGCCCTTGTTTTTTTTATTCATTCTTCTATTTTTATTATTACTATTTTTTCTTTCCATCTAGCTTTTTCTAATTTTTTTCAGTGTCTGTCTTTCCTTTTGACTCCTGCCAGTTTTTTACCCCCCCTCCTCCTGATGTCTTATTTTTTTTTTCTTTTATTCCTACTTCCCACACACAACCTTTATTTTTAATCTTTTCACTAAGTTTGCCTTCTATCCTTCCTTTTTTGATCCAGGAGATTACAATTTTAGGTGAAGGCTTTGGAATAAAAAAAAAACTCATATTTTCTCTAGCATAAAAAACCTCGGAAAAAAGAAAAAAAAATGAATTTATTTATTTTTTTGCAAACAGGATTCTGTTAAGTCTAAGGGGCTTACATTCCAATCCCAAAATGGTTGCTTTTATTTTATTTAAATCTTATATTTTAAATTTTATTTTTCCTTTTTACCCCCACCAATCTTTTTTTTTTACACCACAAAATTAAACTTTGGTTTTGGCTTCTATTCTATCCTTTTTGGTTTTTGAAGATGTGGTGGATAAGTATGCAAATGATAGATTTGGTTTGCTGAAATATTGCCAAAGAAATTGCCAACTAAAAAGAAATAATACTTGAGCAAGTAAGAGTTTAAAGATCATTACTTTGTCAAATAACTATATTTTCAGATGAACAACAATCAACAATTACCAAGTGATTGTGTGATTGATTTGGTTTCATGGCTTATCAACCCATTTTGGGTTATTTAAAGCTGAAACATATTGCAAATTGTTTCAAATAGGTTACCAAATATTTATAAAACATACACTTTAAATAAAGAATTAAGAAACAGAAAAATTTCATGAGAAACAAAGAATGCTGAAATGGGATGTAATATCAGTTCTCCTATATGTCAGTGAACACTGGGTAATTTTCTCACAGATGAAAGACTAGACTTGAGACAACAGAAATGTGGTTCTACAAAAGGATTCTGAGAATACCGAGGAGAGAACATCTGAACAACAAGTGAATTTTAAGGAAAATAGGAACAAAAAGTTGCTTACAATTAAAATCAGTAACAGACGGTTGAAGTTTTTGGAGACATAATCAGGAAAGTGGGCTTGGAGAATTTGACACTCACAGAATATACTGCAGAAAGAAGAGCAAGGATGGATGAAGAGTATTAAGAAACAAAGAAAAGAGTACTGAACAGTTATATCAGTCTTCCTATGTTGCAATGAATATTGAAGAACTTTCTCACAGATTAAGAGGGAATTTGAGACAACAAATAAGTAGTTCTATTGAAGAATGCTGAGAATATCATTGATGGAATTTTCCACACAGATGAAGAGGAGACTTAAGACACAAATGCATGCTGAGATTTTTCCAAACTAATACAATACTCCACTTCTATAAGTGGCCTATCTAATATTCTAATATATTTACCAAGGATATCAAGGTTAGCTAGCAGTTCAAACACTGTGACTCATAACATATGTATATCAGCAGCTACTTCTTATATACCTCTGATGTTATGAGATAGTAGCTATCATTCTTGATACATGTTGATCATGATGGTTATAATTATTTTTCACCTTTCAGAGATTGTGTGTGCGTGTATATATATATATATATATATATATATATATATATATATATATATATATATATATATATATATTTATTATATATTAGTTGCGTATTTGGGCAGCAGTTCCTCTCTAATATCCGTTTTATTAAAAATGACTTACAAGATAATTCTGTAAATTTTTTTTTTCTGTCTGTGAAAAACAGACTGAGTGTGTCTATAAATTGATCAAACACTGTTCATTCAAGGATTTTCGAAGTGCTTTGAGATATAACGTGTGTACATTGTGGAGAGGTCAGTCAGCAGTGCCACAGTGATACATGTTTGGGCAATTATGTCTCTTTTGATAATTCTTCTGATGAGCTTTCCTTCTTGTTATCGAGACTTTATGAATTTAAGCACAGTACTAGATTATCAGCAAGGTCTGATCACTTTACTGCCGAAATGGCTTGATATAACCCTAAGTCCTTTACTAACAGTTTCTTCTCTCACACTTCTTACTTGTAGAACTCTCTTCTGACTACATGCTCAGTCAACTCTGATCTTCAAAAATTTAAATGCAATGTCAATTGTGAGTTTCAGTCTTTTTAATTTTTGTTCTTTGAATCTTCTCTCTCTTTAATTATAATTTTTCTCATATTCTCTAACACTCAGTAACCCCTTACATCACAGTGGCATTATTATCTTGTTTGGGGTGAAATGATTTTAAAAAAAAATATGGCTGTTATTCACTACAACATCTAGTTGAGAGGTTGAAATTTTTAATTCCCAAAGTGAGCCAGTATGCTAGAGCCCTGTTCATAATTGATATTGTTATATATGTATGTATATAATGGCTGGTTACTTCATTTTGAGCACACCAGTCTCCTTCTTGCAGATGCCTACTCAGACACATTGTGTTTATTCAGCAGCCACAGAGTCTGCCTGTGGTTTACACTGCAACTATGCTGATTAGACCTTAGTTGCTATTTCTGTGAGAGAGCACATCATCTGGCATGATTACCAGTTTGAATGAGGTTAGTACATTCACACCCTTGGTCATGGTGACTTAAGATAGCACAACCACCAATAACTTCTGAACAATTCTGTCTCCCCAATTTCATTCACTAGGCTTGGGCCAAGGATTTTACACTTTCCAACAGTGCCACATGTTTGGATTGCCTCCTCAGGCTAATACCACCAAGAAGTTGTGTTTTTGACCAATCAAGCATGGTGAGACTTGAGCCTGGGTGTCATCGTCACAAAGCAAAACTTCTAACCACTCAGCCATGTCTCATATACATTTTTATATTTCTAAAGTAGTAATGGATTTTTTTATTTATTAATCAGGCAGATTTTATCGCTTTAAACATCATTTTAGCAGATACTAATATTTGAATAGATTTCTTGAATATTCAGCCTGGCAGACAAAAAAGAATATACTGTTTAATAAATCAATGGAACGTCTACTAAAATATGACAGGAACAATTTTGCTTAAAGGTACTGTTCAGAGTTTACTTGATCAACAAGGCTGCTCTATGGCAGAGTTGCTTAAGACATGTCAGATCTAATGACCGTTTCCCTCTGCCCATAGGGACAGAAGTTCAAATCCTGCCAGAGAGTACATATATTTTTTAATGAAATTTCTCAAATATTCAGACTGGGAAACAAAAATAAACATACTGTTTAATAATGTTTAAAGTGATAAAGAAATTATATATGCATACACAAAATAATAAACTATACTATGTGTATGTCTCCCTCTCTCATATATATATATATATATATATATATATATATATATATATAAAGTCAACATAGAGGCGACAGTCTGTTTCAGGCCAGATGCAATCATCAGGCCACATCTAGCATGAAACAGACTGTCACCTCTAAGTGTTGACTTCTATGTTCACTTTTATATTTACACACGCTCTATCTCTGATATTGAGCACTTTATCCCATAAATATAGCACATCTTAAGAATATATATATATATATATATATATATATATATATATATATATATATATATATATATAATTAATTGATTTAAAATATGGTTTTTTATTCCGCACACAGTTCTAACCAAGTTTCAAAAATTTTTTGAAACATGGTTAAAAACTGTGTTATGAAAAAAAAACATATTTTAAATCAATTATTTTAATATTAATGCTCTGTAAATTTACATTGAGCACTATTTTGTAAAAATAAAAATATCTATAAGAACACGGATTATATATCTTACTGTTCTTTTTTTTATTTAAATACATTTTATATTATATATATATATATATATATATATATATATATATATATATATATATATATATATATATATAATAAAAAGAAAGAACAGTAAGATATATAATCTGGTGTTCTTATAGGTATTTTTATTTTTACAAAATAGTGCTCAATGTAAATTTACAGAGCATTAATATTTACCAAAATATACCCCTTACCAAAATGTAGCTAATAACCGATACAATGATGCAGACATAAGGAAAACCCAGACACCCCTTGTCCAGTTGAAGTAGATTTATCTGTAACCATGATTTTAGCTGTGTCTTTAAAACCCAGTAATTTTAAAAGTTACTCCAAAATTCACTTGAGGATGAAATGGAACTAATGTCTTTAATTTAATTGCAAAATTGCCTGAGCAAGCATCTGCAATAGGGATTGGCTAGCTGCCCTAGTAGATGGGTATCCTCAAATACGAGTGGCCAGCTTTTATATATATATATATATATATAAAATAAAACACGTACAATGTAGCTTCTATGGTACAAGGCAATGTACAAGAGACCAACATTGGTCTGATTTTCTTTTCATTTAACCTTCTGCCTTTTTCTTCTAAATGGAAACCTATCTAACTAATAATGAAAGCTGACCGAGGCAATGATACTAGGGAACTTGGATCATGTGAATCAGTCACCCAGAAGAATTAAATAGGATCATAAAACACCCGGTGTTATGCTCAGGTTGTCTTGTTATGGTCTATGAAGCAGAAAAATATAATTCTCATGAAAACCATAATTATTTAATTATCCAGATCAGAAACTATTTTTGTTTGGGGGGGAAAAAAAAAAAAAAGAAAGAAATATCACCTTGGTAAAAAGTGGAATTGGTTTGGCAATTTCAAATTCCAGTTGAGTTTTTACTATTAAGTTCATTTTCATATTGATAGTCTCGGGAAATGCCTGAATCTTTGGAGTTCTTTGATAAATAGAAGAATAGACTGAACTCTCTAGCCTTGTCTGGCAGCCAGTCTAGAAGAAAGACTAGTCAGAATACAAAACTATGGAAAAAGGTCATGAGGAAACTACTATCTTTTCCAAGAAATAATTCTGACACAGAACAACTTAGTTGGAAGTTGGAAAACTGAAAAATTGCACACACATGAAAAAAAAAAAAAAACATGCATAAATTCAGTCTGCCCATTACAGATGGCATCATCTAAGTGACTTTAATTCAATTCTAGCCAAATAAAAATCCTGGAATTTGCCAAATCCATTTTGATAAAGTTTAATTATA